TTGGACATTTGTAAAAACTTCCTAACTGTCAGGGCAGTTAAGCACTTGAATAAATTGCTTAGGGAGGTTTTGGAATCTCTGTCATTGGAGGTTTTTAAGAGCAGATTAGATAAATACCTGTCAGGGATGGCCTAGATCAGGTGTGGGCAATAATTTTTGCTGGAGGGCCACTCCAGGCATTTTGGTAAGTCATTACGGGTCACACATTTCTACTATATTAATGGAGGGGGTGTTGGGACTGGGAGGGAGTTTGGTGCAGGAGGGGGTTCTGATGTGGGGCAGGGGATTGGGTGTAGGAGGGGGTGCACCTCTGGCCGGGAGGTGCTTACCACAAGTGGCTCCTGGTTGGTTGTGCAGCAGGGCCGTCAGGCAGGCTGCTTGCATGCCGCTCCCGGAAGTGGCCGGCTGCTGCTGACATGTCTCTGCATGCCCCTTGGAGGGAGGGGGGCAGCGAGTCTCCGTGTGCTGCTGGCGCACGCAAGCAGTGCTCCCACAGCTCCCATTGGCCAGTTTAGTCTTTAAGGTGCCACTGGACTCCTCATTGTTTTTGTGGATACAGACTAACACGGCTACCCCTCTGATACCTGGGACTTCTTGTCACTTTCCCTTTCTTTTAAGGGAAAGGGGGGGGGGGTCAAGTTTGGGAAACAAAGGATTCCCGCCTTATGTAAATCCTATTTAAGGGTGGAGAGGAAGTCAAACAGGACTCCTCACCATGGCCTGTCTGCCCAAGAAGAAATACTGAAGGCAAGGGGGGAGTCCAGACTGAGACAGGAGTCCAATCTGAAAACGAATATAACTGGAACTCTGAACCACAGAAACTTCTCAAACTGCCTGCAACAATATTTAGGGTGAGAAATACTATTTGTAACTAATTTCTTTAGTGAAACTAGCTTAGTTTTCATGTTTGTTTTCATTTGCTTAGTAATCTGCTTTGTTGTGTTTGTTACCCCTTTTATCACTTAAAATCTGCCTTTTTATAGTCAATAAAATTTGTTTTCATAGAATCATAGAATCATAGAATATCAGGGTTGGAAGGGACCTCAGGAGGTCATCTAGTCCAACCCCCTGCTCAAAAGCAGGACCCATCCCCAATTAAATCATCCCAGCCAGGGCTTTGTCAAGCCTGACCTTAAAAACTTCTAAGGAAGGAGATTCCACCACCTCCCTACGCAACGCATTCCAGTGTTTCACCACCCTCCTAGTGAAAAAGTTTTTCCTAATATCCAACCTAAACCTCCCCCACTGCAACTTATTCCTTGTCCTGTCCTCTTCCACCACTGAGAATAGTCTAGAACCATCCTCTCTGGAACCACCTCTCAGGTAGTTGAAAGCAGCTATCAAATCCCCCCTCATTCTTCTCTTCCGCAGACTAAACAATCCCAGTTCCCTCAGCCTCTCCTCATAAGTCATGTGTTCCAGACCTCTAATCATTTTTGTTGCCCTTCACTGGACTCTCTCCAATTTATCCACATCCTTCTTGTAGTGTGGGGCCCAAAACTGGACACAGTACTCCAGATGAGGCCTCACCAATGTCGAATAGAGGGGGACGATCACATCCCTCGATCTGCTCGCTATGCCCCTACTTATACATCCCAAAATGCCAATGTTTTGTTTATTGTTAAACCCAGTTTCTGTAATTTGTAACTGGGCGGGTAAGAAGTGTGCACACCTCTCTCCACATTGAGGAAGGGGGTGAATTTCAAAATATATCTTTGGGTCTGCGCTCCAAGAAAGATGGATATCCTGAGTGCTGGAGCTAGTCCCTTTAAATGAGTCTTCCCAGAGCTGATCTGCAGCTGGGTGTGGCCCTGTGTGTGTGTGTGTGTGTGTTAGAGGAGGTTTTAAGAGCCTGGCTCAGCAAGACAGGTTAAAAAGGACCCATGCTGGCAGAACAGGTAGACTCTGGTATCTCAGCATATCAGGTGGTTTCCCAAGGGGTCCAACCTGTCACAGTATGCACTGGAATCCCATTTGCTTCTCCATCCCCAACTATAAATATCGTGACTGGCACAACTCATATAGGGTGGAGAGCTTGTCTTCAAAGTCATACTATTCAAGGCAAATGTGCAACTCAAGAATCCATTCTCCACATTAACCTACTAGAGCTCAGAATGGTCAGATCTGACTGCGGACATTTTCTACTTATGATTGAAGGTCAGTCCATGAGGATAATGAGACAGCATGGCCGGCATGTATAGTAAATCACCAGGGAGGAGGAAGATCCTCCTCCTTTTGTATAGAACCAGTAAAGCTGTGGAACTAGTGCATAGCCCATTAAATCTTCAACTCTGTCACATACTTACCAGGCTTCCAGAACACCACTGTCAACAACTTGAGCAGACACTTCTGCCATGATAGCAAATGGGACCTCAACCCCTTGATGTTTCTTACCTGGAGTTCTCCAGAATTAGATCTCTTCGCCACTGCCCCCAACAGAAAATGCTGAATACTCTGCTCGGGAGGGTGTGTTAGTTGTCATTCTCTGGGAGGTATCTTTCTCATTTTGTGGTCCAGAAACCTCTTAGAGGCCTATTCTCTGATGCCATTGCTACTCAGAATCATAAACAAGATCAAGCAGGACAGAACCACAGTCACCCTAATTGCAGTAATTTAGCCCAGTCAAATATGGTTCCCATACCTGATTTGCACCTCCTCTTGTCCTGCACTTTGATTACCAATAATACCTGACCTGCTAACCCAGGACTCGGTGGAAGGTCTTCACCCCAATTTGACAGCTCTGCATCTCAAGGCTTGGCATATAGATGGATCTTATGGGTAGAGATCTCCTGTTCAAAAGAATTGCAAGAAGTTTTGCTCAATAGTAGAAATGAGTCAACTAGAAAAACATACCTGCAGAAGAGGAAGAGGTTCCAAAGGTACGTCTCCTGTTGAAATACAATCTGTCTGATATATTGGATTACCTTTTGGGTATGAAGAACTGGAACCCTCTGTTGGAGTTCCATTAAAGTTCATTTAGTGGCTATTGCAATTTTTCCATTCCTCAGTCAAGGGTTTTTTAGTCTTTACTCACCTCACCACTTCATTATTCATGAAAGAATTATCAGATCTTTTTCCTCATGTCAAACAGTGTAACCCGGAGTGAGACTTATACATTGTTCTCAATTCTCTAATGAGGCCTCCCTTTGAACCACTGGCTAAATGTTCCCTTCCACGATTGTTTGTGAAGACTGCAATCTTAGTGGCTATTACCTCCACTAGGACAACTGGTGAGTTAGTGGGCTTTGATAGCTGATTCTTCCTACACCACATTTTATAAAGAAAAGGTATCTCTCTGGTCACACTTCCACTTTTGCCCAAGGTAACCTCAGACTTCCACATCAACTAGGACATTCCACTTCTGGTTTTCTACCCCAAACCTCCTCAGACTAGAGAGGAAGCCTCTCTTCACACCTTAGATGTCAGAAGGGCATTTGTCTTTTATTTGGAAAGCGCTAAATCCTTTAGTGTCTCTGCCAGACTGTTTGTGGCAGAGTTAGAGGAGCCCTTGTCTCCACCCAAAGACTCTCCAAGTGGGTTTTTTTGTTGTATGCTACAAGGCCAATCTCCTCCTGGTTATATCTCACTCCACTTGATCAAAGTCTACTTCCATAACCCCATTAAAGAATGTTCCCGTTGGATAAATATGCAAAGCTGCCACGTGGGCTTTGATTCATACCTTTTTCTAAACATTACATTCTATACATGCCTCTAGAGCAAGATTCCACCTTGGCATTGTTAGTCTCCAGTCAGTCTTAGATCTAGCTCCAAAACATACGCCTCCTTTACAGTGTAATGCTGAGGAGTCACCTGAAGTGGAGCACCGATATAAGGACATTACTTGAAGGAGGAGGAGGAGTTCCTTACCCTTGCAGTAAGTGGAATTCTTTGAGATATTTGTCCCTCTGGATGCCCAGTAGGTGCCATCCTTTCCTTCTGCTTTGGAGTCTTCCTTTGTGAGACTCTGAGTTAGAGAAGGAACTGAATTGGGTTGTCTGATGCTGACCTTATATACACTTATCACGAGGCATGAAGATAACTAGGGTGTTTGTGTGGACTGAACTGGCATTGCTACCAGAAGTCTCTGATCAAAGGTGTATGGGGCACGTGCACAATTGAAGTGGAGCACCTGTAGGGACAAACGTCTCAAAGAACTTCAGTTACCGTACAGGGTAAGTATCTCCTCCTTTAATACAGTGTCATTGGTAGGATATTTTGTACCAAGGTGGCTGCCTCCAGAAATGTCTTTAGAAATTCAAGATGTGATTAAGCACTTTCAAATATTTTCAATTTAAGCATCACTTACCAATATTATTCCTTGGGTTTGAATGTTGAGACTGCTGGGTTGAAGAGAGTTAGTGGATTTTTTAAAATACATTATCTCTGTACAATTTTTAGCTGTTTCAAAAGATACTTCTCTGCACTTGCTCTGTTGGATCCTTTGAATTAATGAGTTCTCCCAAATGCTACTCTTAGAAGCATATCGGTAAATCTCCCAGTGTAACTATAATGTTGTGTTGTCATTCCCAGTATTCTCTCTAGAAAGCACTATATCTGATATTGATAGCTATACCAGATAAGCATTTCTGATATTTTTATAGTCTTCCTGGGAAATACTATATTTTGGGGACAATAATCTCTAATGAACAATAGTGAGGAACAGAGTTGTTTGTTCAAATGCTACGCCAAGGAACAGTACTGCTCTACATGTGGGTGCTTCAGTGCCCCCATGTTCAGAGATGCACTAGTCTTTATGCTGTCACCGTATCTCAGATCTTAACAGAGAACTTGATAAAGTATCGGTACTGGTGAGAATATGTTATGCGAGTTTATTGAAAACAGTGTAGGAATTTTTTTTGACATTTCCAGATAGTCCCTTCATCTACGTAAATATTCTCTAAAGTGCCACACTTCTTGGTAATTTTTAGTTAGATTTCTGCAAATTGTTTTTGGTTGGTTGGTCTGGGAATCTTTTTTTAAAACTTTTTTTTTTAACGCAGGAGGAATTTAATGCTGAAAGGAAGACTGCCTGGCGCAGCAAGGAGCAGGTGTTGATACAAGAGACAGAAAAGGCACAAGCCCGTTACCAAAAGGAGAGAGAGGAGTTATCAGCACAGATCCAGGAAAAGACAAATATAATCATCCAGGTATGTGAAAATACTGAGGCATAGATTTTAATTGCACTTTCCTTGTGTATTGTTTAAACATAGCTTTCCTCTCCTTCCCCTTTCCCCATTAAGATGTATATGTATAGGGGCTACCACTTTGGTGCAGTCATTGGTTTATATTAACTAGTTTTTGAGGCACTGTTGGCTGCTTCTGTTAGCTAGTGTGTTATGGGGGTATCATTGTACCTCAGTGGGTGGAGAAAAAGTTGTGTGATGCAGCATGGTTGTGGCTGCTACAGGAGGGAACCTATCCAGTTATTTCAGTGATTATTCTATTTTCCTGAGATATAATATTTTAATGATTTTCTGGTATTGAGAAAAATGTACGAGGTATGTCACAAAAACAAACAATGACATGATCCCTGCGTTGAAGTGAGGGTATCAGATAAGGGCGAGGAAGGGATGGACAAGGATGACAATAATTACTCTTAAGGCATGTGCATATATTGATGATTCTGTGTGTTCGATTGCTTACCTGTCCTGCCCTTGTTTCTTGTAGGTGAGATGGGTAAGGTTTAGGAGGGAGATGGCTTGGCAAAGAAATTTGAGGCATCAGGGGCAGCATGAAAGAAGGTGCAGACACCTGTGAGGGACGATGAAGGGGGGTATCAAGGCTGATGTATAGATATCTAACAACATTGCCTCTTCTATAAACTCTATAGTCCTCTCTTGGTTACAGAAACTGAACTTCGATCTCCTACATAGTAACTCATACTTTTTTGTAATGCATAAGTATTAATGTTAGTAGTATTAGATAAAAAATAAGCTACCTTTGTGACTTTCTTGAAACAAAATTGAAAATTATTTCTTTAAAATTTTATGCAATTACAAGGTGCCTTGTTTTACATCAAAACAGTTTAACTAATCTTAATACTGTAAATCATACTAGGCCCCTCCATCCCCATATTGTAGTAATTGGTTTAAATCTTTTGTTAAAGTTTAAGAAAAATTCATTCTCCATCGATTGGAAAACTATCAAAACTGTCCATGAGTAAATTTAGTTTGGAAATTAGAAAGTTTCTAACCATCAAAAGTTTTGCTAATTGCACGAAAAGATGGATCCAAGAATGAGAGTGATTAATCTAAGAGTACGTCTATACTGGCAAGTTTCTGCGCAACAAGTTACACCACTTTTATTAAAGCCCTGGAATTAAACCGCTGTGGCGTGTCCACACTGTGCTCCTTGTGATGGTGGAGCTCGTCCACATTAGCAGCGCTTACAACTGCAAAGAGAGCAGTGCATTGTGGTAGCTATCCCACTGTGCATCTGGCTGCAGGGTGCTTTGGGAAGGGTTTGCAGTGCCTCATGGGCAGACACAGCGTCACATGATGCAGGTTTCCCAATCCCATTGTTCCATGGGCATCCTACTACATTGCCAGCTGCTTTTCAACTGCAGGGATGGGGGGCAGAGAGTGTGTGACAGGGAGAGTGTGTGTGTGGAGGGTGGGAGAGACAGTGTGTTTTGGGGGACAGAGAGTGTGTCAGCATGCTGTCTTGAAAGTTCAGACAGCATCAGGAAGCAGCCAGTCCTGGGGAGGGGGAAACACTGACGTCAGCCCCTGTCTCCCTCCCCAGCTATCTCTGTGTGTGTGTGTGTGTGTCTCGCTCTCTCTCTCTGACAGGCATGCCTGCCTCTGTGTTCAACAGCAGGAAAATTCCACATTAATGGTTTGCTTTGTGTCCCAGAGCAGATCTGCACAGCATGCAAGGGCTGTCAGAAATGGAGCTTTGAAAGGGGAGGAGTGCATGTCTCCAGGGCAGCAGAGTTCAAAACAATGAGCAGAGTGGCCACTTGAGGGATTATGGGACACTTCCGGAGGCCAAATTATTGCTTTCTGTGCTGTAATGTGTTTACACTGCCAATACAGCACTGGAGCCTCTTCGCTTTAAGGCTTAGGACTCTCGGGCAAGGTGCTTTTTTTGCAGTGTAGACTAAGTGGCTTGGCAGTGTGTACACCTCAGGAGTTACACCACAGAAGGCTGCTTTACTGCGCAGTAACTTGCCAGTGTAGACAAGGCCTAATTTAGCTTGTTTGGAAAGCTCTTGCAGAGCAGAAATCTTGGTAGAATCAGGATTCCCTCCCGGCTTTAGGATGGGCAGTGACAGACTGTAAAGGCTGTGTGTCTTAGGGCTTGTCAACGCTGGCAGTTTACAGCGCTGCAGCTTTCTCTCTCGGGGGTGAAAAAACACCAGCGCTGGGAGCAGCGCCTCTCGTGGAAGTGGTTTTTTTAGAGCGCTGGGAGAGCTGTCTCCCACCTCTGCTGTGACTATACAAGCCACATTAAAGCTCTGCGAGTGTAGACTAGCCCTTAAACAGGAAATTTAGAAACAGCAAATGAATTAAAATTAGCTGGTTTTTGTACTCAGAATAATTAAAAGTGAAGGTGAGTTGTCAAGGTTGGAAATGAAAGGGGGTAAAGTACCAGTTTAGTTGTGGTGCTCCCTTCTAACAGTTCAGGAGAATCCCAGAGTTTATTTTAATGTTGTTGGTCAATATTTAATGCAAATGCTCAAAATGTAGAATTGTTACATAAAAACTATTCTGCAATGAAACTTCATTTTCTGTTTAGTAGAAAAACTGGAAATTGGTAATAGTAACTTCAAGAAGAGCATACGGTGTTTAATGAACAACGGCAGAAAATTGGCAGGGAAATGGAACGCTTTTTACCCTGGTCTCTCCTCCTACCTCTTCAAAGAAAAAGTATAGTTAAATACTTGCTTTGTGTTGTGGCAAAGTTGTTGCCATAGTAATGGTATGTTCAGGTGATCAGGTGTCATGTTATTTATGTAAATGTACTGGATAGCTGCAGGCAGTTAAAGCACTATTTGCTTTTAAAAGAACAGCATATTGAAGTCAACTTAACACAAAAATGAGAGCAGAGAATAAAGGATGTTTTCTGGACAAAAAGGGTTTACTGCCATAAAAAATGGAGAAAAGTTGGTTGGGATGGGATCTGTTGAAGAGTGTGTGGTGCAGTGTAGAAAATTCTGCCAGAGCACTGCCTTCTGTCCTTGAGACGTGGATGGAGGTAATGCAAAACAAACTGAAGTGTCATGAAGAGGCTATATAACTTGCCAGTATTACTTCAATGTGCTGAGACTATCTATGGATGAAGATTGAACAGCGACTTTAAACAAAACTATACTAGAAAGAGAGAAAAACAATTTTAACCGCCATTCTGTTTTGGTCTTTCTGCTGTCCTCCAACTCTTGTGGTATTAGAATCCATTATAAATGAAATGTGGTCTCCAAAACGGTTTGTGATTTCTCTGTATTGTAGATGAGATTTCATAATGAGATAACTGAATAAAGCTCTGCTGGTTTGGTAAAAATGACTGGCTTTTTATCCCTTGCCTTGTTGTTCCATTTCCCACAGCTGGAAAAGAAAGTGGAGTCTTTAAATCATGAGTTGGAGGAGACTAGCTCTGAGCTAGATACCCTCCTACAGCGACGAGACAGAGAAAACCAAGAAGGAGAGTACTTGGTAGCTATGTTGAGATCTGATATTGAACTGTCCCAGAATGAAAGGTTAGTTCATTTTGGGTTATATAGTGTGCCATGTCTTATATATCTTTTTTTTGCTTCCTTAAACGAAAAAGTAACTAAGCCAAATTACATGTATAGGAAGGTGACAATGTTTTTGCTATTTTTGAAGCATATCCAAGTTACTGTTAGTCTTTACTTGACATGCTAAAAATCTAGGACACCTTGAAAATGAACATTACCATTCTGATACCCACTTCACTAACTCTGGTATCTGTTTATTATCTGAAATAGGTATACAAATTAGCTCAGAGTTTGAAAAGAAAGGTGAAGACTTTTTTGGGGGTCAGATGGAAGAGCAGGGTAGATTCTTTGTTTTTAATTTACCTCTGGAAAAAAGAAAAGGAGTACTTGTGGCACCTTAAGACTAACCAATTTATTTGAGCATGAGCTTTCGTGAGCTACAGCTCACTTCATTGGATGCATACCGTGGAAACTGCAGAAGACATTATATACACACAGAGACCATGAAACAATACCTCCTCACACCCCACTGTCCTGATGGTAATAGCTTATCTAAAGTGATCATCAAGTTGGGCCATTTCCAGCACAAATCCAGGTTTTCTCACCCTCCCCCCCCCCCCCCACACACACACATACAAAATGTGATTATCATGCACATTGTAGGGAGGGTGGTCACTTTGGATAAGCTATTACCAGCAGGAGAGTGAGTTTGTGTGTGTGGTTTTTGGAGGGGGGTGAGGGAGTGAGAGAACCTGGATTTGTGCAGGAAATGGCCCACCTTGATTATCATACACACTGTGAAGAGAGTTATCACTTTGGATGGGCTATTACCAGCAGGAGAGTGAGTTTGTGTGGGGCGGGGCGGATGGTGAGAAAACCTGGATTTGTGCTGGAAATGGCCCAACTTGATGATCACTTTAGATAAGCTATTACCAGCAGGACAGTGGGGTGTGAGGAGGTATTGTTTCATGGTCTCTGTGTGTATATGTCTTCTGCAGTTTCCACAGTATGCATCCGATGAAGTGAGCTGTAGCTCACGAAAGCTCATGCTCAAATAAATTGGTTAGTCTCTAAGGTGCCACAAGTCCTCCTTTTCTTTTTGCGAATACAGACTAACACGGCTGTTACTCTGAAATTTACCTCTGGGTACATTAGAATATCTTTAGGAAACAATTGGAACTGAGTAGTTATTGAAAGTAGACACTGTAGTGGAGAAATCATATTGATGATTGGAATAAGAGTAATGTATAGTCTATCTCATGGTAGGCAAACTTCGGAAAAACTCTGTACAGCATAAAGTTATTAAGTTTCGCCAGACTGTTTCAAACACTGTTGTCTTCTTTTGACCTTTACAAATGCAAATATGCCAGTGCTGGGAATGACCATGTTTACACTAGATGCCAGTTACAGGTGTGTTTGTAAGCATGGTCTGTTTTAACAACGGTGTCCTGAATTTAGTATTCATATCTTTTGAAGGATCAAAATTAGAATTGCTGCAATTCATTTTCCTATGCTCTTCATAATCTGTTAATTTGTCAGAGTCTGAGCGGTTTTTTACTGTAGTTTATTGCCTCATAAGGGGTCAGAGTTGATACTTTAAATATCACACATGGTGGTGACTATTATCTGTTTGATTGCCAAGAATGTGCTCCAGGGCTATACAACAGAGAAGGATGTAGCATTGTCCCAAATGGCTTACAGTGAAAACAGGGGCAGACAGTATAGTTAAAACATGATGATGCAGAGGCTGGTATACCAAAACAGAAGCTGTGTAGGTTTTAGTTTTTAAGATATATAAACATGTATTCTATACCTGATGGGTTGTGGTTGAAAACTTTTCTGTAATTACTCCAGAGGGCAGTCTGTGCCAAAAATTTAAAAATTATGTGCACGATATTTTAAAATTCTGCACGTTTTATTTGTCAATAAATAAATGCAGAGGCTCCAGCATGGCAGTGGGGAGCATAGGCCACTGGCTGAACGAAGGTTCGAGATCCTGCAGCCTCCTCACCCAGTACCCCCGGGACACAGACTCAGTGGTGAGGCTGTACCCGACCCTAACAAAGCACAAGGCCTGGGCCTGCCCCAGAAATACCTTGGGGCCCTGCCCCTGTGCGCCAGGCACACCAAGTGTGGGGCAGGCAGGCTCAACCAGGCAGGATCCAAGTGTGGAGGGGCTCAGTGCGAGGGGATCCAGGTGTGGGGTGAGAGGATTTTGTGTGGGACAATCTAGGTGCAGGCAGCTCAGTGGAGCGGTCTAGGTGTGGGGGAATCTGGATGCACAGAGGCTCATGGTGGGGTTCCAGATACAGGGGCAATGGAACTCTGCAGGAACTTCCAGGTGAAGGTGGTTGGGGCTCAGTGGAGGGGTCTAGGTGTGGGGGTCTTAGCAAGGAGGTCTGGGTGCTGGGGAGTGGGGCTTGGTGGGATGGGGGTCTGGGTGCAGCTAGTTGGGGGTCAGAAAAAAATGGGGGTATGGATGTGGGGATTTGGGGGTACAAGGGGGTGGGGCTCATCAGGGTGGGGTTTGAGTACAGGGAGGTCAGTGGGGGTGTGTGGGTGCAGGGGCGGGGTCCATGCAGGGATTGAGCATCAGTGGGGTGGGGTTTGGGTATGGAGGCCTAGGGAGGTTCTGGTTGTGTGGGGTGAGGCTTTGTGGGGGTGTCTGGTAATGGGAGGTCCAAATGCATGGGCGCTGGGCGGATGTGGGATCAGCTCCCCACGCAGTGACCCCTCCCCCTGCAGCTGAGGAGTGATGGGGGCAGGAAGTGGGAGGATGCTGAGTTTCCTGCAGCAGGGGGAGGTTTCTGGGGGTGGGTCTGAAACAGCCCCAGCCACTTCTTGCAGGGGAAGAGGAAATCCCGTCCTCTCTTGCCTCGAGCCCAGGTGGGACTAGCAGCTGATATCCCGGCTCAGGGTAGGAGTCACTGTCTGGGGTGTCCCCTGCCCTGTGGTGATTTACCTGTCTGCCGGCTGCTCTGGGTGCTTGAAATGATGTATCTATGCAGGTAGGGAGTGGTGTGTGACTACTCTTGCAGGTTCCCTTTGCTTCCTGGTTAGAAAGTCATTTTTCTGCAGAGAAGCAAAGAAATCTGTGGGGGACATGAATTCTGCGCGCACACAGTGGCGCGGAATTCCCCCAGGAATATTAGTAGTGTGATGCGAGTGGGGGTGGTTTTTTTTTTGTTTTTTTTTTTTTAAGAGACACCTGAGAGAGGAGAGGGAGATCAGTTAGTGCAAAAACAAAGGAAAGAAGACCCAGGTGCATGGAATGGAAGGTGCAAAGAGGAGCGTGGGATAAAGATACAAAAAGATTTTCAAGAAGTGGGCATGTTGAAGCATAGAAAGCAGGATTGGGAGTAGGAGGAAATGGGAGAGGCAAAAGTGGAATTGTGCCATGCCATAAAGATGAGAAGCTTGAATGTAGTATGGAAAACAAGGGGAAGCCATTGGAGCAGTTTGAAGGCTGGAGAAAGTGGCCAGGGTTGTAGGAGTGAAGTTAATATTTCCAATCTCGTTTCTTCATAGGTTAGAATTAAGTTAGGCATCATGAAGGCCAGTCATGAGAAGGGTGCATTAGTCAAGGGTGACCAAGGATGGAGAAGGAAAGCATGATTTTTAAGGGCGTAGAATAAAAAGCAAGAATTTGATTAAAACTGAATGTGGTGCAGGAGAGGGCTGAGTACTACAGTCTCTGTGCTATAAGCTGGGGACAGTGATGGAGAGAGGAGAAAGAAGGCCTGTTAATTTTTCACTGTGTGGGAGAGGGCAGTGGTCCATCCAGGAGACGATGTTTGGAAATATAATATTTCAATGTGGATGGGAGATCAGGAGGGAAGAGGTAGATGAGAGTCATCTGCATAGACACGGTAGCTGAAATTGTGGGAGCAGATGAGCTCTTCAGAGTGAGAGTTAAAAGGAACCAGGGGCAGAACTCTGGGGACAGGACGGAGAGCAGAAGAGGAACTGGATTTGGTTGGCATGTATTTTCCAGAGCTAAATAATTATTACGCAGGATAGGCTTTAATACTACACACCGGTGAGAACTCAAATTATTGCCATTACTTTATGGAAAGCATTTTCATCATATTTGTAATGTTCTTTTGTATGGAAAAGCTTAGCAAACATCCAGATATCTCCTCTCTTCATTAATATGTAACTATTCAGTAAAAAATGATGGCATGAAATCTTCAATTAATTTGCAATACTTACCTAATATGTGTGAATGGTATAGAAGCTTGTAATAACAAATCAATATTGTACAGATGTTTTTGTTATTGAGAGGCAGCAATTGTTTGGGATTCTGATAGAGCAATGAAGAGGCAAGGTCTCAAGGTCTAATCAACAAGGTCTAATTTAACAATTAATCCTTCATTCGTTTGGGAATTTAGTAGTGAAAATAGCTGCAAAGTGACATCCTTACTAGAAGAGGCATTTAAATATTGATAATATGCTGTGTCACAGAATCTTTCAAACCTGCAGAGAGGTTTTGAATTTTTAAAGTGTTATCAATATTTAAGTACCTCTTCTAGTTGAAATATACTGTACTTTGCATTTTATGGTATTTCTGTTCTAGGAAAAAACTGCAGGAATCTTATCAGCAAGTTTTGAAATTATTTGTGGAAATGGTAAAGGCCACTATCGCCACAGAAGACCTTATCTGTAAGAAAGTTGGTCTCTGTCTTGATGACAGTCTGGCATCTGGAGATTCTAGAGAAAGCCGCAGTATGATGGAAGAAGTGGGATTCATACAGCATTTCAAAGCCAGAGAGAAGCGTGACCTAGAAAAAAGTGAGTGTCAGTCTGGGCATAGTTATTTTTTTAAGATACTGTTAATTTCATATCATACAGCTAAGGCTCTCCACATGGATATTTTATATTGCAGTGTTCTCCACATCCACCCAGTGGGGTTCTCCAGAGTTGTGATGGACTCTGTCAATATCCTGCTTTAATCCTCTTGACCATGAAGATGCTGTACTGTGGCAAAGATAGTTCCATTAAAATGGTTTTGATGAGCACATAATGTGCCCTTCTCAACTTCCTAATAGGAGACAAGCATTTTTCTATCATAGCATTGTGAGCCTGAACTGGAACAATGAATGGCTGGTCTGGTCTTGGACTTTGTAGCAACTATGTGCAGGCCACAGGGCCTCCTGTTATATCTTAAAAGATTTGTCATATCTAACTGGGCAACATTCATCTAGGTGTAACTATTCTCTTCAAACATCTCAAAGTAGTTTGATAACTTACAAAAATACGTCCAAATCTGATGAAGGGGCATGTCAGTTTTTAAGTATTAAAGAACTTCTTTATGTTGAGATGTTTTCCACTAATTAAACATCGCTCAGTCCCAAGTAGTGTCACTGTTACATTTGTATATGATCATGTCAGTCAGCTGTGTAACGAGTAGCTGTTTCTGGACTAATTTTTTGTAATAGTGTTTTTTCTAATTCATTTAATTTTTTGGTAGGTGACCTGGATGAAACTCTTACAGAACACAACCAGGTGTCTGCAGTGACAGATGAAGGGTCTGAGTTGAGCCAACACTTATGTGAGAGTGTTTTTGCAAGCCCAGACCTGGCATTGGAGAATGAAGAGATGATCCTGAAAATTTGTTGCCGTTTGCGTACTGCTGTGGAGAAACTTCTAGAGCTGGTTACAGAATCAACTAAACAAGTAAAACTAGATCTCAGCCTTTAGCTACATATTGTCATAGGCAATTGGGGTCTGATCCTGTGACATGCTGACACCCTTGGGCATTAAGGAATTCAGCACTTTGTAGGATTGGGTTCTTGGGAAAGTGCATGAAAAGCTATGTACACAGCTCACATTTCCAATAAGAAATCTGTACACCTCTTCCTACTTGCTGCATTGATGGTTCTGCCCTCATTAACTATAAGAACTGTTCTTGTAATGTCTGTTAATATGTGCAGTAGAACCTCAGAGGTTACGGACACTAGAGTTATGAACTGACTGTTCAACAACATACCCGATTTGGAACTGGAAGTATGCAATCAGGCAGCAGAGACCAAAAAAAGCACTGTACAGAACAATACTGTGTTAAATGTAAACTAAAAAAAAATAAGGGGAAAGCTTTAAAAAAAAGATATGACAGGGTAAAGAAAGAGTTTCTGTGCTTTGCTTCATTTAAATTAAGATGCGTTTTTCTTCTGCGTAGTAAAGTTTCAAAGCTGTATTAAGTCCGTGTTCAGTTGTAAACTTTTGAAAAATCAACCATTATGTTTTGTTTAGAGTTATGAACAACCTCCATTCCCAAGGTGTTTGTTACGCTGAGGTTCTACTATATTTTGGACCTGGATTAGATTACATGCCATCTGTATTTTATGGGGTGCTTGTAATAATGAAACAAGATGTTTGTTGTTATGGCAAGGTTTAAACTGGAACTTTACCCACCAGTTTTATAGATATATATTCAGCTTCCTTGTTGGAGATCAGAATTAGGATTTTCAGGTTGCCTGTAGTGAAGCAAAGGGCAGAGGAGCTCTTTCAGACCCCTCTGAAGTGACCTTCCTGCATAAAACAGTGATGACTGACCCTAGAGGGGGCCACTTTTACTGGGGAAAACTGTCATGACAGAGGCTTCGTAGGAAAGGGGTAAAGGGCAAATAATGAAGAATCTTAACCCCACATACCTGCAAATATACTTTGAATGGCTTACATACTGTATAAAGGGGTGGAAGACTTTTACAATGAAAACTAGTGCATAGCTGAAAGACTAAACCTGTAGATGTTTCAGTGATGGCAAACTGAGAACTTGGAATTGAGTTAAGAACTGCAAGGAGAAAGATCCATTGCGTGTTTCACAATATTGTGAATCTCTGTAACTCTAAAGAGAAACTTTTGACTTCACTGGGAGCCAGTAGCAAAATTACCTTTGACTTCAATGAGCCATAAAACACATTTTTAAAGTCATGCACTATGCAGTGAGGTGGTTCTTTTAATAAAAATATAATAAAGACCTATTTTTATTATTACTGCTTCAAAACAGTTAGTTGGCTATTAATACATTAAAACAAAGTCCTGTAATAAAACATGTTAGGAATATGCAGCAATTAAGCTACAAGCTGCTTTGTAATTGGCAGAAGCACTTGATAGATAAATATTACAAAAATGAAAATAAGTTCTGTCTTTATAAGGGTTCAGATGATCATTGCAGTTCACATGTTTAGTGTCGTATGTTGTGATGTGCCTTTTTTTTTTTTTTTTTTAAAGTTGGAGAAAACACATGAAATTCACGCTCACTTTGAGGAGGAATTCAGCCGCAGAAATCAGGAAACTGCCCAAGTGGTGAGTCAGCACCATGATCTAATGGAGTGTCTAAATGAGGAAAGTGAGGCAAAGAATCAACTGGCACTGGAGCTTCATAAAGCAGAAGGTAAGGAAATGAAACCGAAACAAATTTCAGATGTTATTTATATAATATAACAAAACATATTTGGAGGTGGATAAATGAATTTATAATGCACATTTAATTGTTTTACCTGCCCACTTTGGCATTCTAAATCCCTGTGTCACTTGAAACGGATACGTCCTCTTTCTCCCCGCAGATGTGGCACTTGCCTCCCCACCATCAGAGTTACACTTACCTGAGACCCCGGAATGGGCCCAGTGTTCAGGATTGTACTAGTGGCATGTTTTTTATGCTAAAAATGTCAGGACTTTAAAAACCAGTATCTCACATTCTTGCACGGCTAGAAATGGGAGCTTTATTCGGGAAGGGGAGATGCCTAGTTTCCCAGTGGGTCCCAGCACTCACAGCTAGTCCAGGAAGGACCCACTGACAGTAGAAGGAAATATTTGATGAGGATGTATGCAAAGGAAATGATAAGACATGGGAGACAAAAGAAAGAAAAGGCTATTAACCGGAGAGCAGGGAATACCAACTGTCAGGCAAAATCGGAATTGCTAAATAATTATTTTACTTTGTCTAGCACTGAAAGAAACAAGTGACCATAGTACTTGATGTTTGTAATTTTAAAACTAGCAGGATGTGATGAAAATTACTCAGAGTATTAAAGGAAGTAATCAAGGAACTCTGTCATTAGCAGTTGCTTTGGAAACTTCTGGTGGACAGAAGTCCTAAGAGGTGCATAGGGAAAACATACTGTCAGTTTTGGGAAATGTGAGACCCAGTGAAATACAAACCAGTTGTTCTCTGACTACATGGGAGATAAAAGCCAGCATAGGTTTAAAAGACTGGTGATCGCACCAAAATGCATGTTATGTCATTCCTTATCAAATAACTAGTTTAATAGTATTATTGAATTTTTGTAGTGTGCTTTATGCCCTCAAAGCACTCAGAAACATTACCTAATTAAGCCTGATATCAACCTTTGTAGGCAGATATTACACCCATTTTACACATGAGGAAATTGATCAACAAAAGGCTGTGCTGTCCATTTCTTTGGGGAGTGTGGGGGAGAGGCTGTTTAGAGAAAGGGTAATGGTTGTCACAGTTGCCTACAAGGATGCTATAAACAGGAAGGGGAAGAGAAATGTTACCAATAAGACATGAAATCATGGATTTAAATGGGAGAGAATTTCAACTTTAAATATCTATTTTAAGAAGTGCCGATATTTGAGCGTTACCCTCTCTTACAAATATATTTAAAACAGGGAAAAGTGTGTTCTGGCATTATGGCATGCACCTAAAGGCAGTGGTGGAATTCATCAGTACTTGAGATTTTGGTCACAACTTGATGAGCATTTTTCATGCTGAAAGTCCTGCCAAAGAGAAATAAGACTAATGACCAAAAAGAGACTTTTCCCCTAGCCTTTATGATTATATGAATGGGTGTGATACTCCTTTTGAAAATTCTTTTGTGTCTTGTACATGATAAACTTTACTGTTAAGAACATAAAAATGGCTATACTAGGTCAGACCAATAGCCCACCCAGACCAGAATTTTGTCTTTCAATAGGGGCTGGTGCTAGATGTTTCAGATGGAGTGAACCGAACAGGGCAATTTATTGAGTGATCCATGCCCTGTTCTCCTGTCCCAGCTTGTAGCAGTCAGAGGTTTAGGGACACCCAGACCAGTGGGTTGCTTCCCAGCCTTCTTGGCAAATTGCCTTGGATGGACCTATCCTCCATGAACTTATCTAATTTATTTTTTGAACCCAGTTATGGTTTTGGCCTTCACAAGATCCCCTGGCAATGAGCTCCACAGGCCGACTGTATGTTGTGTGAAGAAATATTTCCTTATGTTTGTTTTAAACCTTCTGCCTATTAATTTCATTGGATGGCCCCTGGTTCTTGTGTTACGTGAATGGATAACTAACATTTCCCGATTCGCTTTCTCCACACCATTCATGATTTTATAGATCTCTATCATATCCTCTCTGAGTTCTCTTTTCCAAGCTCAACGGCCCCAGTCTTCTTACTCTCTTCATATGGAAGCTGTTCCATACCTCTACTTGTTTTTCTAGCCTTCTCTGTGCTTTTTCCAGTTGACCAGAACTGCACACATTATTCAAGGTGTGGGTGTACCATGGATTTATATAGTGGATTTAAAGTTAACATGTAACAGATTTGCTTTTACAGTGGTTTTCAACCTTTTTTTCATTTGCAGACCCCTAAAAAAACTTTGAATGCTGGTGCAGACTCCTTTGGAAATCTTAGACATAGTCTGCAGAGCCCAGGTTGAAAACCACAGTTCTGTGGTAATGACAACCTTCTGTGGACCCCTTAGATATAGTCTGTGGACTACCAGGGGTCTGCGGATCACAGGTTTAAAACCACAGAGCTAGTATATATCTAAATTTTGGCTTGTATAAGTTACAAATAAATGTTCATTAAGGGATTTCTTTCATAAGTCTGTGCTGCTGTTTGTGCAAGGCACACCTCTGGTACAACTTGGACCTGTCTAATAGCTCAAAGAAAACGTAAACATGTTATATGCACTATCAATACATATGCTGAGAACTAGCCAGGCTCTTCTGTCATATGCCCTTATTTTAGTTTATTTTTTTTCCTGCAGACAGTCTTTGGAGCAGCTTAAAATTAGTATGTTATGGGTATTTTTTCTACGACTGAACTAAGATACAGTACTTGAATTTAAAATAAACGGTTTGTTCTTTGTGTGCTGCCCCTTTGGGTACTCCACTTCGGGTGTTGGTGCGTCCCAGCACCGTTGATCGGAGATTTATGGCAGCCGTGTCTGCGCGGGTAGGCATCTTGCGATGCCACTGGTGCTGCATTTAGTGCGTGCGCAACCTGAGCCCTCTAGTTCCTTCTCAACTGTCCTGGGCTGAAGACTGAGTTCTGGGGGGGTATTAGCACTCTTCCCTCAAACCATTAAAAACATCGTTTAATTAGATAGTTAGTTAGAAAGCGTAAGTGTTTAGTTTTATTGAGGGGAAAAATTTTTTTTTCGTTAGCTACCTCCTCTCAGGGGACGGTTATCCGTTAAGATGCCTGGCTCCTCAGGCTTCAAACACTGTGGCTCCTGCCGTGAAGCTATGCCCATTTCCGATGGGCATTCATTGTGTGTGTGCTGTCTCGGTGAGGGGTATAACCCCCAAAATGCCCCCACTGCAGCAATTTGAGAGCCAGAGCCCAATGTGACAGGGATCTCCGGCTAAAAATGATTTTAATGGAGAAATCCCTCAAATCCGATTTGGACAAGCAGACTGCCTCTCCAGATACTCCTCAAACTGGAAAAGGAGACGTACCCTATGAAAGACCAAAAAAGAGGGCTCAAAATTCTCAGCAGAAAGTACTGTGAAAAGACAGGCGGTCTCCTGCCAGGTCGCTACCCCAGATGCCGACATATGCGTGTGGGAGCATCTATGATGCTCCAGGCACCTCCAGCAATGCCAAAGTCCGAGCAAAGGAGACAGAGTCGAGGCACAAAGACATGCCTCCTCCACGGCACCAAGTTCACCTGCAAGGGACTTGGCACCGAGCATCTCCTCAGGCACCATGCCTACGCCCTTAGCACCAACAACACAGTCGGCACTGGTGGAGAAAAACAAGTCGGCACCGACCGCACTGACTAAACAGCCACAGCATTTGTCGGCACTGACGCGTGCACTGGTGAGAGCGGACCTCATGGCACTGATGATCCAGACATTGGCACCACACGGTCTCTGTTGCACCAGAAAGAGTTGGTGATACTGTTGGCACCGCACTCCCCAATACTCTGTACCGAGGGCTCCCCAACAGGCTATGGAGGAGATCCCAACAGCTCTCATGACATTTCACAATTTTCCAGCGAAGACGAGGAGATGCAGGAGCAAAACACCTTCTCACTACACTATTCCCCACCAAAAGAACACCGACCACCTTGGAGCCATATGGGACCAAGATACCACTAGACAATTCAACCATGGTGCAGACCACCATGGATGTACTCCCCTGAGGCCTTCCCAATGCAGTGGGCACATTGGGAACCCTGGGCTTCTTACAGAGGTCCACATTCCAGGTCACACACGGCGCACAGATATGAACTGCGCTCTAATCCTGCCTCTCCCACACTGCAGGCCACGGAGGCTCAGGACATAGGCGAGGACACAGAAACTGGCACAGACCAAGAAACTACCTCTCCTGCTCACAACACTTCCTCCTCCCTAGATGAGGCTGCTAGGCCCCCACTGCCAACTTCAGGAGAAGATTTCAAGCAGTTTCAAGAACTGTTTAAGTGGGTCACTCACAGCCAGAAAATACCACTAGAGGAGGTGCAGACAAACCAGCACAAGCTGGTACAAATACTACAACCATAATTTACTTCCAAGATCGTTCGTCCTATCACCGATGCCATCTTGGAACCGGCGGAGACTGTCTGGCAGACACCGGCCTCAATTCTGCCAACATGCAAAAGGGGCAGACTTTCTCTTTGCACATCTGCCCCCCCCAACAGCTTAGTGGTCAATGTTGCGAATCAACACGGCAAGCAACCACAGTTTAAATCTACACCACAGGAGAAAGAGCACAAGAGACTCTACCTATTTGGGTGTAAAGTTTATTCTTCAGGCACCCTACAAATCAGAGTGGCCAGTCACTCTGCATTGTTAGCTAAATATTACTATGATAACTATGTGAAACTTAGCTTGTTCATAGCAGAGTTCCCCAAGGAGAAAAGGTCACAATTTCAAGCCATCATCAACGAGGGTCAACAGATAGCCAGAACAGCCCTAAAAGCGTCGCTAGACACCACAGCCAGAACCATGGCCACAGCCGTAGTGATGTGCCGGGGATACTGGCTACAGGCCTTGCATATACCCGAGGAACTGCAAACAAAGGTAGAAGACCTACTTTTTGATTGAGAAAAGCTTTTCTCAAAGAAAACTGATGAGGTGCTTCATACGATGAAGGACTCTTGGGCCACCATCCACACTTTGGTGATTTATACCCCACCTGCGAAGACAAGAAGG